GAATATCCACTTTGGAAACGCTATCTAACACTCGCTCAGTTGACCTGTCATCTGAATGATTGTGCATTTTCTCCACCAAGGAGTGTCCTTTGTTAGGTCCCCTTTGCAACTAACATCTGCCCCACGGGAAGCGTGAAGAGGGATGGGATGGAGGAGAGAAGAGGGGAAGGCCCAGCTGGGCTGCAGAGCTCCCTGGAGGCTCTGGGGCTGGCCCACCTTGGGGAAGGGCGGGGGACAGAGTGAGATCCGCCGAGGCCACGCCTGCAAGCTGAGCTCATTTCAGGAGTGTGTAGAAAGCCAGAGACCTGAGGGAGAGGGGATTAAGAAGTCAGCCACTCTGTTTCAATGAGGAAACTGGCATTTACACCTATGCTCTGATGCCCCAGCAGCCAGCTCAAACGGGACACCGTGCCAAAGAAGTTTGGCGGCTCTTTTATGTGAAAGGAGAGTGAGGTAGCCAAATCATGGGGCAAGTGGCAGAGGACAAAAGCCCGGGCAGAACATTGGCTAGGACACTTCTTAATACTCTCGCTGATCAAATATCTGGCACCCAGTACAGAGTTCTACACTCCATTCAATGATCTGTTTGCTAAAAAGATCCCTCTTCCTGCCTATTGAAATAACCACTTTGGGGGCCCCGGTGCGATGGCCTAGTGGCTAAAGTCTTCACCTTGAACATGCTGGGATCCCATACGGGCACCAGTTCTAATCCCAGCAGCTCCACTTCCCATCCAGCCTCTTGATTGTGGCCTGGGAAAGCAGTCAAGGATGACCCAAAGCCTTGGGACTCTGTACCCACATGAGAGACCTAGAGGAAAGTTCCTGGCTTTGGATCGGCACAGCACCGGCGTTGTTGCACTCCCTTGGGGAGTGAATCATCAGACAGAAGATCTTCCTCTCTGTCTCACCTCTTTGTGTATCTGACTTTGTAATAAAAATAAATAAATCTTTTTAAAAAGAAAGAATTTGATGTAAAGATAAAAATGGAACTTGGTTCAAATTGTGCTGCTGAAATGTGGGAGGTCTGCTTTTTCCCCAGAATCATTTGAGAGCACGTGACACTAGCTGTAAGAGATATTTAGTACATTGTTTCTGAAGAATAACTAGTATACTTTTGGCTGATGTTCATGCAGGCTACATTACAGCCATTTAAGTCTTCCATCTATTTCACAGATAGAGAAACTGAGCTCCAGGAAGGGGACAAGACTTGCCCAGAAGTAAGTTAACTTTTTTTTTTTTTAATGACCCGGGGTTATCCTGATCACAAGTGATTATTCAATCTAGTGGTTTTTTGCTTTCACCGTGATATTAATGAGCCATTCTTCTTAAAAGAATGATTCACCAAGAGCATAGCACACTGACCAGGACTATGCTCTGGGCTGCACTGAAACCCTCCGATTCCAACCACAGCCATTTGTAACCAGTCTGTGCTACTCACCGCTCACACTTGGTCCGGACCCAGGAGCAGCCCTGCCCCAGCCAGGGTGGGGGTAAGGGAAAGCCGCCGCCTGGCGCCACCCTCTAACCTACCGCCCCTGAGAGAGTCTGCTGTCCCATTTGAGAAAAACTCTTCTTTGCTTCTCTCCTCTTGGGTCAGCCAAGAAAACAACAACAACAAGAAAAAACACCTCAGGCTACAGAAGACAACTACCACAGAGACCAAAGAGATGAAGCTCCTTTGGAAGCTCCTGCTTGGAACCCAAACTCTGACAAATCCCAAGCTGCAGGCGGGCTCTCCAATTCCAAGTGGAGTGGAGTGGTGGACCCCGGGAGTCATTGCCTTCTGCAAAGGCCTTGGTTCTTTGTTCTAGGGTGGTGCTGTCGGAAGGAGGTGGGGGAGTGAATTTGTGAATGTGGGGAAGGGGAGAGAGTCAGAAAGTCTCCTGTGTTTCCAACCCGAGGAGTCCCAACTCCTCTGAACGATCAGCCAAGGCAAATGCTGGACTTCCTGATTCCCCAGACTGACAGCTCCTCCCGGAGGATACCTGAACGCGTGAGTCTCCACAGGGCAGCTGGAGTCTTGGGCTGTGCCCTCCTGGCTCCTCACACACAGTGGTAGGGAAAGGTGATAATTGGTGACATCCAAGGCAGCAGAGGAGGAGAGGCCCTACCCCTTCCAGCCCCTTATTTGTGAGGGGAGGATTGGAAGACAATGGGTCAGACCGAGTGGGGCCAACAATTCTGAAGTTGGCAGGTAGGCAGAAAGTTCACAGGAAAATGACACTGTGATGTAACCGGGCGTGCATATGCATCGCGCCGCCAGCTTGGATCCTGCAGATTCTGATATGGTGGGGGGGGGGTGGGAGGGGGCGGAGAATCAGCCTTACTGACTGGCTCACAGGCAGCAGAGCCCGCCCGCAGAGCCCGCCCGCAGAGCCCGCCCGCAGAGCCTCCGAGGCCCCTGGGGACAGCAGGCCTGAAGCCCGGGCAGGCCAGTTCCGCTAGTGGAGCAGAGCTGGCATCTTCCAGCATTGATGAAGGATGCTCTCCTTTTGACCGAAGAAAGCTGGAAGATGGGCAGCGAGTGATCTTCTGGTGGTCCTGCTTTTGCTAAGCATCTGCTGTAGCTGCAACAGCATTTTTGGTTAGTCTACATGATTGGGCCTGGCTGTTCCCCGCTGAAATGTCTTTTGTATTTTGCTAGCAGCGAGCTTCTTAGGTGCTGATTTTTTTTTTTTTCAAAGCTGTGAAACACTGCCTGTGGGCGTATTTTATGGAGAAGTAAACACACAGCCCAATGAGATGTATAGTGTGGTTTTAATATATTGTATATTCACTTATTTATGGGGCAAATAAACACATAAGCCAATAAGCTGTGTATTATTACTTTAATCTCTTGAATTTATTCCATACCTATATATTTTATGAGGGAAAATAAACTAATAAGATACACGATATTATTATAACATCTAATTGTTCCATATTAATTTATTTATGAGAGAAATAAGTGCAGTTTAACATGACATAAGATTATTTAATGCACAGGATAAACTCTTTATTAAGGCAGTTTAAGGGATTACGTTCCAGCTGAATGCGAAACGCCGTACTTCGCTACATTGAGGGGTAGGGCTTGGTTTTTTTGTTGTTGTTGTTGTTTTTTTTCCAACACGCTATTGTCCTATCTCATCACGACCTGTGTCGGCTCCTGGTTTATCCCAAAACGCAGCTTCTCGGTGCCTGGTACTCCAAGCACGATCCGGGAAGCCCGGAAAATAAACTGCTTTCCTAGAACGGGAGCATCTGCCAGGGAGGTAGCCCCGCGGTGTCTGTTTCTGAGCCGGAGAAATATTAAATAAACCTAAGAAGGATGGATGACTTTCCAGGGCCCCTTAAATCTCCACGTTCCCGGGAAGAAACCGCGAGGCAGATGGAGGAAGATCGATCCTTGCTTCCGGCTCCCCGGGTTTACAAGGAGCCAGGCAGGGTGCGGAGGGGGCGGGGACGGGGGAAGGCTAGGAAGCCGCTTGGAGACGGAAAATGAAGCTGTTGGCCAAGACAAGTGGGTCTGCACTCGCAGAAAGCTCTGGCCGGACTTCAAATCCCACAGCGTAGGCTCCCGGACGCTGCGAGGCAGACCGAGGCCCGCAGACCCCAGGCTCGCCCCCTCCTCTAGCCCCACCCACGCGATTCTCCTTCCAGCTTGGCGTCCTCGGTATCCGTTGCACTCATTTTAAAACAAAAACTGGAATGCAAAAAAAAAAAAAAAAACCATGAAAAAAGAAGGGCGCGCGGGAGGCTCCCAGGCCCCTTCCTTCCCCGGAGTCGCGAAGACCCGGCGCGGGGGCGTGGGGGCGGGGCGGAGTGGCGGCCGGCCCGCGCCATCCCGCAGCGCCTGTCATGGCGGCCGCGCCCGTCTTTTCCCCCTCGCTCAGCCCGTCGCCGGTCCCAGCGCCATTTTGAGCATCTCCCTGGCGTCTGGATCTCCCTTCCGCCCTGCTCGCTCCTCCTTGGCTCCCTTGGCTGGCCGGGCGCCTCCCTCCCACCACTGCCGGGTCCTGGCCGGGCCGTGGACCGCCGCCGCGCTCCTCAGAGGTTTTCCCACGCCTGGGAGCCCCGGGGTGGCCTCGAACACCTCTTCACGGAGCACCGGGGGTCCGGCCAGCCTCTTTTTGTTGCCCGCTCGGAGGCCAGGGGCCCATCCCTGGGCACGGAGGCCCGGTGTCCTTGGAGAAATTCCAACCCTCACACCAGCCCTTAGCCACCAGGCTCCCCGCGCCCCGAAAAAAAGCGCCTGCAGCCCCGCTTTGGATTCTGAGACGAGCAACTGGGAAGCCCCTGGATTCAGCCCAGTTTTCCTCTCCTCTTGCCGCCCGGGCGCGATTTCTAAGCTAGGGCCGCGGGAACACCCACGCCGGGCCAAAGGCCGCCTCTCGGGAGGCAGGCAAGGGGGAGCCACTGCTCAACAAAGCCACCCCCTTTCATCCCGCAGACCAAGAAGCAGCCACTTTTGTCCCACGCGGACTCGGCCGTCCCGGGGGCTTCGCCGGCGCTCGGGCCGCGGAGTCAGACCCAGGAGCGGGCACACCGGCCTTGGTGGCGCGGGGAAAATAACTAGGTCCCGACACTCATAGGTTCGTTTCCGTATCATAAAGACATTTATTTAATCTATGAAAATAATGTACAATAAATACTCTCCCCTTTTCCTATTAAAGAATTTTAATAAATAGTCTACGATCTAAACCAAAAAAAAAAAAAAGAGAGAATAGGTCCCTTTAGTTATTTTAACGAAAGCCCCACCTATACTTTAATTATTCCTGAGATTTCGTTGGAAAAGAGTGTAGCGAATGAAATTGTGTGTGGTTTGAAAAGGACTCCCGAATGCCCAACGGGGATATTTTAGAGAAAGATGGCAGGGAGTGGATCAAGATGCTAATTCAATAATAATACCTGAATTTTAGCAAAACGCATGTCTATGCGACTGCGGGGGTGGGAAAGGATTTTTTTTTTTTTCCAGAGTGTAGCTAAGGGCGGAGGTCGCAAAGGCCGAGCGGAGGGCGCGGGGTCAGGGGAACTGCAGGTCGATGGCGCACAACGTGCTGGTGAAGAAATCCAGATCTTCTTCGGAAAAAGGGACCGGGCTGTCCAGCGAGCCCTGCGGGCCGGAGGAGAGACTTCCGGACACCTGGAGACAGGAGTCGGCCGCGAAAAAGTTGAGGTCGGGCGGGAACGGCGAATCCTGCCTTTCCGGGAAGGTGTCGTCTGGCGTCGGTTCGGGCTGGAGCGCGCTGGCCCCGCGCAGCGCACAGCCCCGGCTTGGCGCACCCGCACCCTCCAAACGAGCGGCCCACGGCCGGGACCCCGACGTGACCTCGGGTGGGAGACAGCGGGTTTCCTGCGTCGCCTGCGAGGCGGAGGGGCCGCCAGGGCTGACCGCGGGCTCTTCGGCCGGGTCGCCTGCGTCCTCCAGGGCTCCGGCGCACGCTGACTCCCCATCGAGCGGTTCTCGGTGCTGCGTTTGCCGCTTGTGCTTCATGCGCCGGTTCTGGAACCAGACTTTGACCTGCCTCTCGGTGAGGTCCAGCAAGGCCGCAATCTCGACGCGGCGCGGTCGGCACAGGTACTTATTAAAGTGGAACTCCTTCTCCAGTTCCAGCAGCTGCGTGTTGGTGTACGCGGTGCGCAGCCTGCGCGCCCCGCCGGCCTCTGCCAGGCCCGGGCCATCTGCGGGGAAAGCAGGCTGGGCGTCACGGCGGACCACGTCCTCAGCCCGACCTCCATGCAGCTAAAGAAAAAAAAAAAAAAAAAAAAAACTAACCTCCCCCAACCCTACACCCGCCAAAACGCATACCAACAGAACCCCCCCCAACTCCAACCCTACCCCCAGCGCCAACCCCGTAAGCGACTCGCGCGCTCTCTGCGTTTCTTCTCTAGCCCTTGGGGTAAACGCGGCCCGGGGCAGGGAACGCAGGGGGACGGAATGCAGCTCCTTGAGCCGCCACCACCACCACCCCAACCTTAGAGCCCCGCTCTCAAGTCCTCCCTGGGGAACCCCCTTAATCCCGAAGTTTCCCACCCAACCCGGAGAAGGTTCATCAGTGCCTAGCTCTCCAAGTCCGCTTATCCTGGGGGTCACCGGAGGGAAGATGGCATCGTTTCCTGCCCCCAGATTCAGCCTCAACAACCACACGCTCATTCCCCTACACAGACACGCGAGAGCACCTTGGCATCCCTGTGCTTCTAGCTGAGAATAAAGCTTTTCCAGAATCTGCCATAGGAAAAAGAAAGGGGGGGGGGGGGAACTGCTGGCAGCGGACCGGCACGGACCCCAGCCGTGGGCAGCGTTTTCCAGTCTTGGGAGTGGCGCGGGCAGGGAACCCCAGTGAGCTCTCACCCTCTCGGGGCGCCCCCCGGCCGTCTTCCATGGCTCGCCCCACCCCCACCTCGCTCACCGACCTGCGGGCGCTGCCACCCCGGCGGCCGGGACAGTGGAGGCGGTTGGGGAAGGAGATGTGGCAGGCGGGCTGGGTTTCTTGGTGGATTTCTTCTCTTTCATCCAGGGGAACTCGGGGGCCAGGGGGGCGGCGGGGAGCGGCGGCGGCGGCGGCGGAGCAGGCCCATCTTCGGTTCGCTTTTGGCTCCCGGGTCTCTGAAGGGTGGAGGCGCCGGGCTGGAGGCTGGGGCAGGTTTGCCCGAAAGGAGGAGGAGGAATTAATGTCGACTCCTTGATTGATGAAGTTTGAAGTGTCTCCAAGACAGCGGGGAAGGAAGTCAGACACTCCGCGAGCGATGGCTGGCTGTTTATAAACCCAATCTCCCTCTCAAATTCAAAATTCATGGCTTTCAGTGGTGGGGGAGGGGGCCTTCGGGGGGGGGGGGAACGTCAGGAGGGAGGATCAGAAGGGACCCCCCCCCTGGCCCCCCAGGCTTATGGACGGAAGCGATTTTGGGAGGGGGAGGTTCCGCGCTGGCTCCCTCTTTCTCTGTCTCTCTCCTTTTTTTTTTTTTTTTTTAATTTTGGGCCTTTATATTTGTATATTGCTGATAAATACAAGCGTATGGGGACTCTCTCTGTTAAACCCAGGACTCTGGCGAAATTGCAGGGTATTTGTGGTCACGGGACCTGCCTCGGCCAATCACTCTTCTGGGCCTGGTGGAAAACAGAGAGCATTATTTGGTTTAATTGATTCAAAAACTCCAGAGGACCACAACCTGGACACACCGGGAGCCCCTCATTTCCACAAGGGGTACCTCACACACTCTCTCCCACTCTCGGCCACTTCAAAGGGATGGGGGGGTTGTGAGAACCTGGGAAGTCAGAGAGCCTGGAGGAGATTCATCCCAAAGAATTTCGTGGAGCCAGGCTTGATTGCACAGCATCAGCCCACACTCCCCATCCCTTCCCACCCTCAAAGAGAGGTACTGGGCCTCTCTCCACGTGGGGAAAGGAGGCCAGTGCTCCCTTGGGATGGATGGGAGGAGAGTCACCATTCCTGGCCCTACCTGGCTTCATTCAAGCCCTCAAAGGCTGCAGTTCAGTCTTGAGGAATGGACAAGCACTGCCAGCCAGGAGCCAGGTAGATGGCACTTGGGGTTGGGGAGCGGGCCTCTGTGGCCAAGTGGCCTTGGTTCCGTGTTCTGCCCCTGCTGGTGGGGGGGTGGGTTTCCTGCACTCCTCTAGGACTTGCCCCCTTGCAGCTGGCAGGCTCCAACGTGCAGAGGCACCATTCAAACTCCAAGCCTGTGTGTGTGGCTATGCTCAGTATACACCAGAAATAAGGTAGCCATTGATCTAACTCTCAAAGCTCTGGTTGATGTAAGAAGGTACGGGGGCGGCTTCCCTCCCTCCCCCCGCAGGACAAAAGGATTCTCCCTCCCATTTTTTGTTTGTTTTATGCTGTTGTTCTAGTTTTTTTTGTTTGTTTTTAAAGCCCTGACAAGACTGAATTCCCTGAAGATGAGGACAGTGGAAATCAGGACCCCTGAGATGCTCTTCCATTTCTGGCCCTTGGAGGGAAAGGATTTTTTGAAATGTTCTTTCCAGGAAAGCCAGGATAGTGTGAAGTTATTGCTGAGAGGGAGGGGTGGGGACACAAGACTCAGAGCTCCCGCCCCCAAACAATTGGTGGGAAACTAGGCCGCAAAGCCGAAGATGAAAAGTGGATCTAGGGGAAGATTTTTAAATAAGTGGGTCAGAGGGACGCAGAGGAGATGAGGCCATCAATCTTGGGCCCCCCGACAGCTCCCTCCGATTCCATCAAAGAATTTGGCTCTTTGGGAAAGCAGAAGGAACATCCCTTAAAAAGGCTGGGGGGATGGGCTGGGGAGTACTGGGGAGAAAGGTGACTTGAGGAGAGCGAGGAAACAGATGGGAAATGGGAACAGAGGGAAGGCGCTAAGTTGGGTGGAAAGTTTGCCGGGAGAACTCCCACGGCTCTCGCCTCCCCTCCCCCTCCTGGCTGTGGGAGCCCAGCCTGGAGAAGGCCAGCTAGCAGAGAAATGGCAACTGAGCCCGGAGCGGCATCTAGAAACTCTGTCACCATCATGCCAGCGTGGGTGGTGGTGAGTATTTTCAAAAGCGGGGCTGGGAAGTCTTGAGCAGCAGGTTGGGGGCGGAGAGGAGGAGGGGGAGAGAAAGGAGGACTGGAGGTGAGGGCTTGCAGGGTTGGGGAAGGAGGGCTGGGGAGGGCTTCTCTGAACTAGGCAAACTGGCCTGAGATAGGGGTGTGCAGTTGGACTCCAACAGAATAAATATTATTGCCATTTGGAGCTATGGAGGGGATCTGAGGGTACGTGTGGGGAATAGGCGAGGATGGAGCCAGAAGGTAGTTGGCTGGACGGGGCACAGTGAGGCCTGAGGGAGGATGGGTGCTCTGCCTACCCCCACCAGTCTCTCTGCAGTTCTGCAGCAGAGCCTCCCCAGCTGCTTGCAGAGTCCAGCGCAGCTTTCTGCAGCTCTTACCCCACACCGTTCCTGCAGGAAACATAGCTCTCTCTAACCCTTGCTGACAGATTTTACGGCCAGATTAGCCAACAGCGGAAAACTTGGGTGTTAAGGGGGCTGAGAGAGCCCTCCTGGCCGGAGGCATCCCTCCCCCACCCCCTGTTGTGCCGTGAATCTTAAAGCACGACTCTTTCACTGCCTTCTGGGGCCAGGCTGGGGCTTTGGTAGGGAGTGTCTGCAATCTCCCGGAGAGGCCAAGACACCCAGCTCAGCCCTCCTGGCCTTTGCTGTTTGCAGTGCTAACTTTAAGCCAAATCTCAAGTCTTCTTTATCAGGAGATAAATACTCTACCCCACCCCTAGAACTAACCGAACTAACCAAGGCACCCCATCTAGTTACATCATTCCCAAGATGTTATCCAGGGAAGAGAGAGGAAGAAGGGGAGAAAGAAGGAAAGACAAACCCCTGCGTGTTATTTGATCCCAATCAAACTTTGCATGCTCTTATGCCTTTAAATTATAGCCTGACCTAAAGCTAAATTGCTTGCTGCTTGAATGATCCTACACCAGTTAAAAATCCTACTAGATCACGGTGGTGGGGGGAGGATGTAGAATTCAGGTTGCTTTTTTATTGTTATTTATTGTTGCATAAAGACTGTAATTACTAACCTTGGACTGCCAGGGTGCAACATAAAAATGAAAATCAGCCCTTGCTTTAAGGTTGAGGGCCTGGAGCGGCTCTCACGGCACCATCCCCCCATCACTACCACCAAATATATGCTCCTAATTAAGCAATGCGGGCGCATCGCTTACAATTAGAATTATGCAACTCTTCAGCAAGCAGCCATCGCTTCTTTCAGCGAATTAGCTCCATATTTCAGCCGTCCTGTCTTCTCGCTCTTATCGGCTCCAAAGACGTGGCAGTGACATTTCATCTCTGACAGACTCCCTCTATCCTCGCTCCAACGTGATAAAACTTTTATGGAACCGCAATGAAGAAATGAAGTTTTCCAAAGAATCGTGGAAACTGAGCCCCCGCGTTAGCCTGGGGACCATTTTATTTACACTGGGAGCTTGCTTCCAGCAGCTGCCACCCGCCTCTCTCTCTTCTCATTAGCAGGGAAAAATCAGATGCAAGTCCTCTTCTTCCACCCTGAACTTTATGTAGTAATTTAATTTCTCTTGAGTTTTAAGGTTTGACCTGAGAAATCCAAGCCTGCTTTTTTTTTTTTTCAAGATTAATCATTTTCCTTTGTTTTCATTTTAGACCCAATGGTAGTTGGGCTTCAAGTCACGTGACAACTTCTTTGTAGCTCCGGAAGAGGATTGTGAAGTTTAGGTTGCCTGGAAGAAGCAGTGATGGGCCAGATTTTTGTTTTGTTTTTGTTGGGTGGGAGTATGCAGAGGTTGTGGCCAAAGAAATGAGCAGACAAAAGGCCAATGAAAGAAAAACTGAAAGGCAAGAGACTAGATAGAAAGATCTAGAGAGAGCACCCAGGTCCTCTTCACCTTGCCCAAACTCACTCCTTAAACCTTAGCTTAAAAAGCTGTCAGACTTTCGGGCTCTTTTAAGGGAGAAAAACTATATTTAAACCCATGATATATCAAGGGGTCAAAGGGAGCCGAGTAGGGGACAAAAAAGAAAATGTCTTCCATGTCCTTTATCTATCCCTGGCGGGGGAGGGGGGGAGGTACTTACAGGGAGCTCTCTAAATTGGACCACCAGGACAAGATAAAGTTGATAACAGAAAAAATTTATTCAAGAATTGTTTTTTGACAGACAACCCCTTTAAGTAAGGAAAAAAGTAACTACGGAAGAACAAAGTAAGTTCCAAGAGAGAATTAACTCTAAGGCTACAAATTCAGGACTATACAGTGACCATTGGGGAGCTGAGTTCATGCCTGTTAGAACTAATTACAATTGCTCCTAAGTACGAGTTTTAACATAAATCTACAGCTCTTTCCTAGAGTACAGCAATAACTAAAATAACTGGCTTTACATGACAGAAAACACAACATCCTTTATAACAAGTAAATACTAAAAAAGTACAATTTTTCCTTTTTTTTCCCTTATATAAATACATCATGTAAGGGGATAAATAATACAAAAAAAAGAAAATAGTTTAACAGGCTATAACCAATAAATATATATGAAAATGTTCACTAGAACACACGCTTTTTGAGGGACGCTGGGTTTCGGCAGGCCCAGGCATCTCTCCAAGTTGTTTTTATATCCATTAAAATGTAAACTCTAAGTGCAACAAAAGTGTCCAGTCAGGAAGCCCAGCAAGGTACACAGGCCCAGCTGCAGCCCCTGCCCCGGACAGACAGTTTGTTCAAATATACCCTGTTTTCACGTTGTTAAGTCAAAGAGAGCAACAGAAGGAAAAAGAAACGCAGGGGACCTCATGGGAGGTGCTGGGGGCTGGCTCTGGCTTGGGAAGGGGGTGGACCTGCAGCTGAAATGGAGTGTGTGGGGGGAGACAGCAGGAAGGGAAGCCTTCAGTCCCAACAGTTGGCCTGCCTTCGCCTCCTAACTGCCTCAACAGAAAAAAATATATATATATATTTATTTCTAATATAGCTCTGACTTTCAGGACCTCTCGCCATCCCTGAGCCCTCTGAAAACGGCAGTCCATGGGGTGAGGGTGTAGACTTGAATGTCCTAGAGCAGAAAAACGTGGGGCTACCAGGAGTGGGGGAGGAGGCAGTGCCCCCCAAGAACCCTCAGCTAGAGGGGAGCTAGAGGCCTCAGGGAAGGGGGAGGGCAGTGGACTTGGTGCCCACTGTGTCCAATGTGTTTTTGTAAGGAGAGTTGGGGGGGGGGACAATCAAAATTTGGGGACATTATCCACAGAGGTGGAAGGGAAGTCAATTGTTTAGTGATGGCCTAGCCATCTTATCAGTGTGTTTTTTCTTAAAAAAAAAAAAAAATGTGCTTCTCTGCCTGGTCTTCCTACTTCTTCTTCCGCCACCCTGCTCTTTAGCCGGGAATCCCAACCTGGTGGTGTCGGAGCCCTGGGGCTGACTGGGGGCTCATCTCCAATCTGCTGTGGATTTCTCTGGGGTTGGCAGGCAGAGGGCCCTCAATGTGGTCACCGAGGTGTGTGTGGGGGCAGGGATTCCCAGCCTCCTCCGCCGGGCAAGCCTGGCCGTTATCCCTCCCTCCTCACCGTGCCCTGCTCCAGGGACCTCAAGGATGCCTCTCGCAGCTCCACAGCACCTCTCCTCCGCCCACCTGGCCCCTCCACCGGCCCTCTCCCGTCACAGGTGTGTTAATTTGGGCGCTTCTTGGATTCTACCCTGAGGAGGCGGCGCGTGGTGAGAGGAGAGGTCTGTGTAGGTGGGGTGGGGGTCGCACGGTCCGTGGTGCTGGCTGGGGGCCATCGGGGGCGCCCCGTTGTAGTCCAGGTTCCCCGAGGGGTGGTGGGAAAGATGGTTGAGGCCGTAGAGGGAGGGCCCGGCAGGGGGCGGCAGCGGATCCGCGTAGCCGCCCCCGCCCACGTACACCGGGCTGCCCTGCATGGTGGGCGTCCCGTACGCACCCCCGTTGGGCTGGAGGACGTGGGGCTCGTAATCGGGCGCCGGGGTCGGGGGGTACTTCTGCGCGGCGCCGCAGCCTTTGAGAGGGGCCTGATAGTTGGAGGGCAGCGCGTAGGCGTTCTGGTGGGCTTTGCCGAAGGCGGGAGGGGATGGGCTCTCGTAGCTGGGGGTCATGGAGTGTAAGGCGTTCATGAAGCCGGCCGTGGACTGCATGGGCTGCGGGGGGCTGCCGGCGGGGGACGGGCCCCCCGACGACGAGGCCAGCCCCTTGGCCTTCTGGTCCTTCTTGTACTTCATGCGCCGGTTCTGGAACCAGATCTTGATCTGACGCTCGCTGAGGTTCAGCAAGTTAGCCATCTCCACGCGGCGCGGCCGGCACAGGTAGCGGTTGAAGTGGAACTCCTTCTCCAGCTCCACCAGCTGCGCGCTCGTGTACGCCGTCCGCGCCCGCTTGGACGCCGCTGACCCTGGAGGGCTCTTGTCCCCTCCCCCGCCGCCGCTGCCCCCGCCGCCCCCGCCAGCTCCTCCTGCTCCTCCTCCTCCGCCGCCGCTGCTGCTGCTGCAGCCCTCTGCTGGATCCGAGGGGGAGGGGTGGGAAGGGGAGAAAATGAAATAAAAGATAATTACTGAACACGCCGAAATTGAATGCATCGTTTCTTAATAAATCCAGGCCTGGACTCAGAGCCCCCGCCGCCCTCCCCTTCCCGTCCCCGCCTCCTCCTCCTCCTCACTACCCCCCCCCACCGCCCGTCGCATTAGCGGACACTCTATAATAGTGGCATTTATTAAGAGACCTGTTCTCCTCTCGCTGCCCCAGCTTATGAAAATTTGATCATGTCACGCAGACACAGCCGCACGGCCATTTATTTAGGGCTGGATTTTTTTTTTTTTTTTTGCACGCGCGCGCCTTACCCCTCCCCTCTATGCACCCCCCCCCCCCAATTCCAGGTCTGGGAAGAAGCTCCCCCTCCTGCGGACAGGGGAAAGGAGGTGGCTGGCCGAGGAGAACCCTGGCGGGGATCTGGGACACTCGTGGCGCGAAGAGGCTGCCGTGCCTGGAGGCCGGGACCCCCTCCGGGCCACGGGAGCGTCCGTGATTAAAACCCACAGCCATCATCCTTCATCATCGTCAACCGCCGACGACTCTGCGGCTCCGAGGCCTGGCGCCCCACCTCCGGAGGCCCTCGGCCACGCAGGTGTAGGGTGGGCTGGAGGGAAAGGGTGTGTGTCAGGGGTCACCGCGGCGGCCACCCAGCCCTGTTCCCTGGCCGCCTCCGGGGCGCCCGGGAGGCTGGGTGCTAGAATAACAGTGACATTCCTGACCCGGACCAAAGCTGACAAGGAGCAAGGCAGAGAGCTGGTACCTGTGCCGGGGGAGCTGTTTTTCAGCTTGGACGTTTGCCTCGACTCTTTCATCCAGGGGAATATCTGTTTGGTGAGGGTGGAGTTGGAGCCGGGGCCGCACTTGGGGGGGCCGCCTTTGCCGGGCCCGCCCCCACTATTGCTGGTGCTAGTGGTACTGGTGGGTGCCGCGCTGGGTGGGGGTGAGCCCGGCGGGGCGGGCAGGGGCTCCGGGGCCAAGCCAGGCCTCATACAGCTGCCGTTGAGCTCCTTGCTCTTGGCATGTGGGGCGGCGTTGCCCAGGGACTGCAGGGAGCACGCTGAGCGCTGGTAGTCGCCTTCCAGGTGCGCGGTGGCTTGGAAGGGGGCCTGAGGGGGGCCGTCGTAGCCGAAGCCATTGCTGCCAGGGTAAGAGGGATAGCTTCCAAAGAGGGCTGCCGCTGCGTTGTCGTAGTAGGTGGCTTTCTGCATCGCTGGGCGAGGCCCGGGCTGTGCGTGGCAACTTGCGAGGGCCTGATACCCTCACAACCGGACATTGGCACCCCTGGGGGGTCACGTGACACGCCGGACCCCCCTCTCTCCCCTTTCTGCCTCCTTCCTCCTGGGTCTGTTCCAACCGGGCTGACCTGCAGGGTGAGAGAAGAGGACTGGGGCTCGAATCCATCTTAAGAACTGAAAAGGGAACTGACATCAATAGGGTTCCTTTTTTTTTTTTTTTTCCTTCCTTCTCCCCTCCCCAACAGCTCCAGATGCTGAGGCCGCATCCCTAACCTGAAGTGGCTCTCTCTTAGCTCAGCACTTTATTTTCAAGGAAAAAGCCTTGGCATGGAGATCCCCCCCTCACCTTCTCTCCCGTCCAGCGGGGCCTCTCTCACTCCCTCTCCTGGCCTCTACCCAGCTCTAGGATAGAGTGGCTCAAGGGAGAGAGTCCTGGGAGACCCACAAAATAAAAGCCTCAACAACACCGTTCTCTGAGCAGAGACCTTCCTGCCCCCTGTCTTTGCCTTTCCCTGTGATCTGTCCGACTTTCTCACCCGAGTAAACTGGAGCCTGCAGGAAGGTGGGAGAATCCGAAAGGGCCAGGAAGAGACAAGTTCAGCCAGGAACCTTCTCCTCTGAGATCGCCAGCAAGACCTCCCCCTGACCTAGAAACTTTCCCAGGGTCTCTAACCTCGAGCCCCGTCACCCCTCCGCTCTGCCAAACCTGGGACCCTGCCGTCAGAGGCCACCATGGCGCCCCAAATGGAGCTCAATGGTTTCCATTTCCCAGACCAGGCCTGGTGGTGCCGTGACCATTTGCCTGAGGCCTCTACCCTCCTCACCCCAGTCGGTCCCCTCCGACTACATTTTTTTTTTCCCATCCTGGCTTGGGCTCTGTTTTTTTTTTTTTTTTAATTTCTTCAAAAATAAAAAAATAATGAAACTGCATGATGACTGGACTTTTTCTATCAAACCAAGAAAAGTGCTGTCTAAAAAAGAGAAAGAAAGAAAGAAAGAAAGAAAGAAAGATCATTACTAAGGATAAAAAAAAAGACAAAACAATGTGAACAATATTATTCTCTGAGGTGTTTACTGAGGCTCTCCCAGGTTAAAAAAAAAGAAAATCATTATTTTAATACAGGCTTTCTGAAGAATGACAGAAAAATAAAGATTCAAGCTGTCATAGACTTTCGTGTGTTTGTTCTGAAACTTTTGACTTGTCCCCCTCTTCCAGCCCCACTTTCCATAAAACCTCCTTCCCAACCCTCCTGTCCGACATGTGTGTTTGGAAAACTTAAGTCTCACTCTGGCCAGCTGGTCGACCCACGACAATTGAAATTAGGAAAGGGAGAGAGGTGCGGGTGGAGGAAGTCCCTCCTACACATAAATCCCCTTCTTAATGACACCGATTTATACTCAAAACGGAGCCGGTGGAGCCGAGCTCCCATTGGCCTCTGGACAGAATTTGTTTCTGGAAACACACTTGGGGGTGCCAAGCAGCAGGTTCTTCCAAGGAGAACTGGAGTCCAGCCGACCAGGCTGACCCGATCTCTTTATTATTATTACCATTAGCTTTTGATGATTTAAGCAGAATTAGCTTCTGAGAAGCCCTGGCTGAAGGGGGAATTAATTAACAGGCATCAGTTGAGTTTATTATTAATAGAGAAGAGAATGAATAAAAACGTTAGAGGGGTCGGCTGGCTGGCTGGGCCCTGGCTTTATCAGTAATGATGATGATGATGATAGCAAAAATAATTCGACTAAGCGCCTGGGGCCGAAATTTCTGCCTCTCCCCCTGCAATAAACCCCAAAGCATCGCAGGACGGAGGGCCGGGCCAGTGTGGGAAACCAAGGAGCCAGAGACGCGGGAGCTAAGGAGCTGGCAGTGCTCGGGGCCGGGAAGGTTTGTGCACCGGAGCAGCCCCGGACTGCCGCCACCCCGGGGCCGGCCTCGGCCTGCTGCCGCCGTGGCCGCGAGGAGAGCCACCCGCGTGGCTGCAGGAAGACGATCGGGACACCGAAACGGGTGCGCGGCGGCAGGTTCCAGGCGCACAGGGCCGGCCAAGGGCCGAGCCCCGCGGACGGCAGCCAAGTTTGGGTGCTGGAGGTAACCGAATTAAAAGGCGCCTTCGCCAACTCCGCTCCGGGACTTTGCCCAGCGGGGGCGTGCGGGACTCGCAGGGCGCAAAGGCCCCTCTGCCGCCGGGACAGCGGGGAGAGAGCACCGAGAAGGCTGTGAGATCCCGGGGTACGGGAGGAGAGGGGGTGGGGAGCAGCTCCAGCAAGCCAAACCACACTATTCCCTTTGCCTCCATGTTGGAAAAATGCAGGCTCCATATGGCTCCTCGGGAGGGAGGGAGACGGTGGCTCCCGGCTCCCCCCGCCCCGGGTCTCGCTGGAGAAGGGCCATGAGCCCCCCTCGCCGAGAACCCCACCTCGCCAGGCCGGGCGCACCCCTGGGAGAGCCGGGGAGAGTAACAATAGCTGGAGAAGCCCCGTGAGAGGTGGACAGGCCACCTTCCAGGACTTAAAAAATAATAATAATGGAAGATAGAATAATCAAAAAACAAGAAAGGGGGAGAGAGAGAGAAAGAAAGGGAGACAGGAAGAGAAAGGTTAGGCTCTTAGCAGCTTGGAAGAAAATTCAGCCCTGGATCTGGCTGCTGAAAGAAAACAGGAGAAAAGGAAAGAAACAGGAAGAGAGGGAGAGAGAGGGAGAGAGAGAGAGGGAGGGAGGGAGGGAGGGAGAGGGAGAGAGAGTCGCTGCGTGGAAGGAAGCTTAAAGCTTGTGAACTCTTCTTGAACCGAGATTGGAGTCATATGGGCCATAAATCATTGAGACATACTCTCCGCCATTCACAAACTGATAGCCTATTTCAGTCCAGCTTACCTTAGCCACCGACGAGGGGAGAACAGGCAGACATAATATATATTCACATCGAGCCCCAGCGCGAGCGGCAGGCGAGAAATCTCCCCTCCTTGAAGGCAAAGGGAAAAAAAAAGACCACTGTTTAAAGCTGCGTCGGCCCCCCCACCCCACCCCCGAGCCACCCCGGCTGGGGGAGCCCTAGGGGCAGAGCGGCCGGAGGAGCCGCCGCGCGGCGTCCGCTTCAATTCACTCGGCTGGGGGAGCGGGGGGCGCGCAGGCGGGCGGCGGCGGGGGAGCGCGAGAAAAACAGGAGACCGAGCCGGGCCGGGCGGCCGGGCGCACCGGGCAGCCGGCTCCGGGCTCCGGCGCGGCCAAGCCGGCACAGTGTGCTTGCCCTACAAGACTGGTACGCCCTACTCTCCGTAACAATGGCCTCTGCTTTTGCACAGGGAAAAAAAAAAAAAAAAAAAACACAGACACACACACTCACTCCCTCACACACAAGCTCACACACACACACACACACACACACACACACACACACACACACCTCTCCCCCTTTAGCAAGCTTAGATGCCTGATAAGGAGGGAAGGTGAAGATGGTGATGGGGGAGGGGGGGTTTTTAAATACACCCCCCTCTCCCAAGAACTGGGTGAAAAGGAGAGAAGGGCAGAGGGATTTCGTAGAGACGCCAACGTATACATATACATATAAAAGAACAGGTACATTTTAAAACTCAGATGGGGAGTGAACACCAGTTAAGGCAACAGACTGAGTCCCCAGCCCACCCCCTCCCCACTGGTGAGCCATTATGCTAATTTGAGGGGCAGCAGCCTGGACTACTGGGGGCTGGGGGTGCTGGGTGCCCCGCGCGCTCAATCACAGTTGGAACACTAGGACTTTTTTTTTTTTTAGTAGTTTCACTCCTCCGGGACTGGTTGGTGGCTGGGTCTCCCGCCCAGCGCCTTCCGCTGCCTTTGCTTCTCCCTGAGTCTCCGCTGGCCACCAGCTCCTCTCCTCCCTCTTGGCCTCCAAGCTCTCTCAGACCTGAAACTGAAGGCAGGGGAGGGAGGCCAGACTTGAACACTCCCTCCCACTCCCCTCCCCTTGCTGAGAACAGACAGCAAGCGGGTGAACGCAGATTTTAAAAAGGCGGGGGGGGGGGGTGGGGAGCAAAGGGTGACAAAAGGAGGACCCAGAGCTGGGCTGGGCTGGAGCTCCCGAGGTGGCTGCCAGTGGAGGGGCTGTCAGAACTTTGGAAGAAGTTCTCACCTTGGGACAGGAGGAGGGGGCCGAGAGTGTTAGGAACATTTGGCCTTCAAAGAAGATGAGTGAAACTAACAGGGCGGCTTCATTTCAAATGCACAGGACGGACCACTGCGTGTGATTGTAGCTATTACTACTGGTGTTGTTGTTGCTATTATTATTCAGATCCAACCTGCTTGACCTAAGTGGGAAGAGCTACCAAAGCTAAAGTTTTCTTAGGTGTGTTTGAGCAGGGTGGGCACACCGAGTGTAGGGGTTGGGGGCGAGCAGGGTGGGGGCGGCCTGTAGGAGGAAGACTGGGGCCAGGAATGTAGGTGTCTGCAAATTTGGAGTGGGGGTGGGGAACAACCATTCCCAGCGAGGAAAAAAAAAAAAAAAAGACAAAAAGAGGATCCTGAAGGACTTCTTGTCCCAAAGCAAGAGTGTTTGCAGCCACGCCTAACTGCTGACTGGGGCCTTAGGTGGAAAAACCGAAGCAGACAGCCGCCCTCCCTACAAAGGCTGCTCGGAAAACAGGCTCTCTCAGCTCCTGCCTCTGGTTTCCTGCTTAGGATACTTGGCTTTTGCCGGCTCCCATCTGGATGCACCAAGAGAAGCCATGGGACTTGGGGGAAACAAAGGTGAGAGATGATTTCCAGCTATTGTCTCATCTGCAGGAGAGGGTCCAGGGGCCGGCCACGCTCCCCTCAGGGGCATCCACACACCTCCACTCACAAGCTTTGCTTAGAGGAAGCCCCTGGTCCCTGGTTGTTTCCTCTGGGTTCCCTAGGTCAGGCCAGGTGGTCTACGGCAGCCAGTTTCCTGAGACCCTGCCCAGGGGAAACCTGTGGCCTTCTTCCTGCAGCCTCCAGCAACAGGAGCCACGCGCGTGGAGTCAGGGACTGTATCGTCCTAAGGATCCTATGCCTGCCGGTGCAGTTGGACACTGGGCAGCTGGGAGAAGGGCAGGAAGCCATTTTTCTGTGCCAGATCCAGGGTTGGGGCTCAAGCCAGGTCCCTCAAGAGATCCCCTAGGACTGCCTGAATGTGTGCCCAGAAAGAGTAGGCCCTGGTTAGAGACCCACAGGGTCACACGTCAGGCAACTACGGGCCAACGAAACCAGGGATTTGGCTGGGAGGCCTCCAGGGACGGGCTTAAGGGAAGCAACATTTTGGGATCCTTCCTCTAGCCCCGAAAGAATGTATTTCAGCTCCATCAGTCTTTCTCAGCTCTTATTACCACTCGCTGGGGAAGGTGACTGCAACTTCAAAGGAAGACCTGGCCACTTTCTGGACTACCGCGGCAGCCATTGCCCCAAGGAACAGAGAGCTCAGCCCAGCCGGCTGCGGGCCTGGGAGAGAACAGGACTGCGGGCACTGAGGGCCTGGAGCTGAGCTGTGCAGCAGCGAGAGAGCAGCAGCGGACTCCTCAACACCCTGCGCTCCCCACCCCTTTGTGGTCCTGGAACTCCTTGTCGCAGTGGGGTATTCATAGGGTGCGAGCAGAAGGAAGGGCTGGGGAGCAAGTAAACAGACTTGGAGACAATTTCAGAGAACACACGCGCCCAAACGCAGTAGGAAATGCACGTCTTAATTCCCATAACTTCTTGGTTCTGGGTAGTTTCTTAGTTCCGGATAACAACGCCGCTTTGGAGTGGCTGGGAGGTGATCGGATCCCAGGTGCGTTTGGTTTGGGCCTTTCTAACTGCCTTCGAGGCTTCTGGCTGCAGGCTGCTTGCCGCTGACTGGGGCGGGGTGGCTGGGGGTGGCGCAGATGGCATGGCGGACCTGGCTGATCTAAGGGCACCCGTTTTATCTGAAGTATGGCTGCAGGTTATAGACCTTTTCAGACCTCAGGGGACAAAGGAACTTGGGCAGGGACTCATGGACAGCCCAGGAGTGTGGGGAAAAGGGGTAGTGGTCAAAACTTAAGAAAAGGGAACAATTTCTTGTTTAGGGAAAGAAAACACAGGCATTTTGTGCATGAGGGGAGAACAATTTAAAAAATGAAAAGATGATAGGAGAACACCAGTGTGAACTAATAAAGATAAAAATCAATAAAGCTGAAGTTTCGGGCAATTTTTCCCCTTCCCAGGCATCCTTTCCTCTGTGGCTCCCTCCTCCCTGCCCTCCAACTCCGAGCCTATACTGAGGGACCAGGAGCACTCCCATCGGCCAGCTACCCTTCTCAACAAGGGTGGAATCCCAGCCTGTTTCCCTCCTCCACAATTTCAAGGGAAAAGCAAATAAAAATTCTCTGGTCTTTGTTTTGGGCCCCCACCAAGGAACCTGCTCCCACGTCACATAACACAAACCAGCCAGGGCCCTTGAAGCCAGCCCTGGGAGCCCAGAGCGAAGTGTCCTGGGTCCCCCCCGCACCTCCCCAGTATCTCTGCCCAACTTTACAGGCATCACAAAGTAGCACAAAGTTTATGCACTCACTCACCGCAATCTCCATCTCCTCTGAAACATTAATAAGGATTCCGAAGCAAAGCATTGTGAAATGGGGGTTAATAAAGAAGAGAGCAAAGCGGGTCAGCTTTGGGATCCCCTTCCCGGATCCCCCAGCCGAATGACTTGAGGGAAGGAGGAGAAGGAATCAAAGCTACCTCCGGGAGGCCCAGTTAGACCCGGCTCAGCAACATAGGGATCCAAAGCAGGGGAAGAAAGGTCGCTGTGGCAGAAGAAGAAAAACCCACACTCTGGCCCCATCTTACCCCAGAGCCCAGAGCAAGTGAGCAAATGGAAGACCAGGGAAAAAAGGGGGGGGAATGGGAGACTAGGAAAAAGGGGGGCAGGAAACGAGGGCCCGTGAGGTCTCCCAGGTACCTACAGAAGCATCCCACCCTAGAAGGCCTGCAAGGGGAGCAAAGTCCGGAGCCAGGAACAGGGAGGTTCCCTGGCGATGAAAAGTACTGATGTGAACCAGAGACTTGCTCTTTCAGAAGCTCCACAGCAGTCGGGCCAAGCCCAGCACCAGGCAGACAAAGGTGGGCAGAGTGGAGCATGCAAGAGGGGAACAGGCTAGCGGATCTTGGGCTGGAGAGTTCGAGGGAGGGAGGAGCAAGGGCCCAGCCTGCTGCGTGGGTTTCTCCTGGCCCAGTGACCTCTGTTTAGGAGACAATAACTCACGGTTAATGACCAATCAGCAGAAGGCCTCCCCCAAAGTGCCTCCCACCAAAGCTCCAAAGTCAGAATGGGACAAGACCAGAGTGTGGGCCTGCTAGACCTTGTTATCGTTCTCTCTCTCAGAACAGGGTAGGGGTGAGAGTGGCTCGGCTGGCCAGGGACTCAGATCTGCAGAACTCTAGGAGTGAGGTGGTTTCCCAAGTCTTCCCACTTTCTCCAGTAGAAATGCTATCTCCAACAGCACTTCCCAGTGCTGATCAGGACACTTGCCCCACTCTTGGTTTCTTTCCATCCTGCAGCCTTTCACAGTTAGGGGAGGAGCTGGAAAAACACAAGTGGAATAGGGCTGGCATCTTGCACCAGGTGGGCCTTCTGTCCTGGCACAGCGCTGTGGCAACTTCTGTATGCACCACCCCTCCCCAGAGATAGTCCCAACAGAGGAGGGTTAGGAGTGCCGGAGTGGGGGGCACCTGCTGTCACAACCTGACTGAATCACAATTCAGCCCCTCCAGGGCTGCGGGAGAAGTCTTGTGAACCCAAGGTTTGCTGTGTGCGGCTGAGCCCCTCTCCCTTAGCCAATCCCAAAAGTCATTCCGAGCCCAAGCCCACCGGCTAGCTCCTCTCTCCTGCCTTCTGCCTCCACTGCTCTCTGCCTGACTTCCTGGGCGGAGAATCGGGACACTTTGGGGAGGAGGATTAATCCAGATTCCCACAGACTTCCTTGAGCTAGTCCACATAACCATCCACTGTTCTGGGCACATCAGAACTTTCTGAACAATGTGAAGAAACACCTACCAACTTCTGTCCCACATGCCTGGGGGACACACACGGGCACCTGCCTGCAGCCACTGACAAATACGCGAAGGAGGCCACAGGATGAGGGCAGCCAGAACTCGGGGTCGGTTTCTCATCCAACTCCACCCTTGTGGCAGAAAGAGAAACTGACACCCAGGAAGGAATCTGTCTAAAGCCACACCTGGGGGGGGGGGAGGGGAGGCGCGCAGGACAGCTTGTGTGACAGGTGACCTTCCAAGGCAGCACTGATCGCCCAACCCGGTCTATAAAACTTGGGGAGCAGAGGTATGGAGAGCAGAGCTTGGGCTAAATGATTTTTTTTTTTAATTAAAAGTTAGTGTCTGTGTGCTGATGTAAAAGGGAATGATAATGAGCAGAACCAACTGAGTTCAGATAACACTATACCATCAGGAGCCAAGGCAGAGTATTTCCTCTTGGGACTTAGATGCTTGCGCCCTTATCACTAAGCACATCTCCTGCCCCGCAGCCCCCACCGCACCACTCCCTCCCCGCCCAACTCCAGGCAGAGGCAGACACTGGGCCTTTCTGCTCCTCTAAGCTTGGGGATGGGTGAAGGGGGGGGGGCGTTTTTTCCCAATCCTCATTACCAAATCAAAAGTGCTATTTTTGGACACAGCAACCTGAGCAGTAAATAATTAATTTGTATCATTAGAAGAGGAAGCCTTCAACCAGGCAATTTTTAACCAGGCATCAATGCACCCATTGTACCAGCCTGGCCTTCTCACCCGACCCCCACCCCTGCCCACACACCTACCAGCCTCCCCAATCGCCCACCCCGCCATGGAAGTTA